CCTGGCACTATAGTGCCCTGAGGGTGCCCCCACCCTCAGGGACCCCCTCCCGCCCGGCTCTGGAAAGGGGTAAAACTTACCTTTTTCCACCCCTGGGCGGAGAGCTCTCCTCCTCCGATCCTCCTCTTCTCCTCCCCGTCGGCTGTATGCGCACGCGCGGCAAGAGCTGTGCACGCATTCAGCCGGTCACATAGGAAAGCATTCATAATGCTTTCCTATGGACGCTGGCGTGCTCTCACTGTGAAAATCACAGCGAGAAGCACGCAAGCGCCTCTAGTGGCTGTCAATGAGACAGCCACTAGAGGATTAGGGGAAGGCTTAACCCATTCATAATTATAGCAGTTTCTCTGAAACTGCTATAATTATGAAAAAATGGGTTAACCCTAGAAGGACCTGGCACCCAGACCACTTCATTAAGCTGAAGTGGTCTGGGTGCCTAGAGTGGTCCTTTAAAGATGGGAACTTACTTTCCCTGAGAAGAAGGGAAGAATGATTATCTGGAATCAAGCGGGTGAATTAGAATATTCATTGTTTTCCATATTGGAACTACATTACAAAATTATCTATAAATGGTATTTAGTTCCTACAAGACTTAAAAACTTTACTGACACTCCTGACACTTGCTGGAGATGTCATGCTGAGAAGGGAAACCTACTGCACATTTGGTGGAAATGTATAAGATTGGACGCCATAAAAGTTCATATTAAATCCTGCTTGTTTACACTTTATCTATTTAATAAACTCCATTTATTTTTCTATGGTACATCGATTTTCCTATTTAAAAAAAAAAAGTCAAGAATATTTATTGTCATTTACTTTTCGCACCAAAACTTTTCATGGCTCGAAATTGGAAATCTACCGATATAAACTGCTCAACGATATGTAATCAAATTACGTATCAATATAAAATGAAATGCAGTTTCTGTAGTCAGAGAGATACTGTAGAAAAATGGAAGAATTATTTGGGTCCTTTAAATATGGATAACACTATAATATATAATATATAAGCGTGTGTATGTATTTGTGTCATTGAAAGGTAGAGCAGTGGGGGGAATTTAGAAAACTGTCACGTTGTCTCTTCATATAGAAACATTGGACCCTGCTTCTCTATGAGAAAGATCTGATCAGCTGCGATTGTTTCTTATCTCTGTGAGAATTATTATATTGGATCAAGGTAGAGGTGTAGTGGCTGTCCAGTAGACACTTTAAAAACATTCTCCAAAGAAAATGTTATACAGAGTTATTCACGAAACCTCACATTTTCACAAAATAAATTCAAACGGCACAATTGATTCAAAAGAGACAAATTTTGACTTGTTTAGCGAATAACACGGAAAGTGTTCCATACATACAGTTTATTTCCACAAGATGGCAGTGTTTAATGATAACAATAAGCAATGTTTGAAATTAGATTAACTATTTATAAAAGGCACTAAAAGAAACGTGGAGGAAATGTATAAAAATACTCTGTACCTGCAACACTTGATAATACAGGATATTTTAAGATTGGCTAATAGAGTATAACAACGATGCTGTAAGAAGGAAGTTTCATAGAACGTACAATAATAATTATAATTGTATGACTGACACGCAAAAGATGCATTTTGATATTGCAACATTTAAGGTTTTTAAGGTTTTTTTCACGCACAGCTTTGTATTAACTAAATATTACTTTTCAGTGAATTGAAATGCGACAATTTTGACATCATGGCTAAATTACTACTGATCGAAATTTGATGTTTAGTGAATAAACCCTGTACAGTTTATTTTATTGATCTCCAGTAATAGTATGTTAAATGCTTGTCCCATCAGGAGAGCATACGGGGGTTGCCATATTTACCAAGACACATCATAATGCAGGGCAGAACTGTGGTCACATTTTGTTAGCTCATTATCTGGTTGAAGATTAAAAAACCTGATAATTCATCCTTTATACTTTTTTTTTTTTTTTAACTAAACTTGTAGAGAAAGTATATGGTAGAATCCACCTAAAATATCTTTTTGTTTTGTTGGTTATTGCTATCTCACCATTTGCCAAAAAGTGAATTCGTACTAAGAATTAAGTCCAATGGAAGTTTGATTTTAGACTCAGATAATTCTATCACAGTTCTGCTCTAAACGATTTGACAATTCCTGAAAAATATGGGGCAATTTTCTCTCTATGTATGAATATTATAGTACTCTAGTACACTGAATAAATGGATCTGATTAAAACATCCCTGCCTGGTACAAAACGACCAGAATGATTCTTTCTGCTATCTCGATGAGCTGACCTTACACATACTATGCATGTCAGCCCACTCTACGTAACAGGAAATATTTGATAATTACCTTCATGTATATGATTGTATCTGTATTGCACTGTGTGCTTCCTGTTGGTGAACCCCAAGATGAGTGTGATATGCTATAATACCATATTGTGATATCTCATGTGAGCCGGACATGTATGCTGTGCTTTCCTTTCTGTCTTCTGTATCAACCTTCTTGTTTTTCTCTCAGTTCAAAAACTGCAATAAAACTCAAGTTAAAAAAACAAAACAAAACAAAATACGAAGTGATTCTCTATAGTAAGAATTCAAAGTGAATTTCAAATCCGCGGTCAAAATAGCCGACCTGGAAAAATGATCTAGCAGGTTTATTTACTAATGTGAGAATTAAACGTGAATTTCAAATGAATGATCCGAATAGCCGACCTGTAAACATTCTGTAAGTCAGCTCTGCTTTCAGTTTGGCTACTCTGGGTTAAATTTGAAATTCACTTAGAATTCTCACTTTAGTAAATAGACCTGATATGCCATTATTACCATTGTAATTAAATCGATTTGTGCAACAAAATGGTTTATTACAAATCATTACTGTGTGCAGGAAGGAGTCTGGTAGGTTGGTAGGGCTGTAGGTCCCCCTGATTTGGAATGTGATTCCCCCTACCTGCAAAGCTTGTTTTACCTCATTTCTTACCACGTATAGAACTTTACAGTTTCCCATGCTTTCCATAAAAACGGAACTGCAAACATCTCCAACGGTGAAGAAGTGATTACAGCTCGTGTTTGCTCGGATCTCTCCTCTTTGCAGTGACTGTTTGGCAACTTGTATGTTTGGATAGTGCCTGCATCCTTCATCTGTGTAGTTTTATTTAATATCTTCTATTTATTAAAGTCCGTTAAAGGAGTGAAAGGAGAGAGGAGGGAATTAGAGGAGGGAGAGCAGGGGCGGATCCAGAACCTGATCTCGGGAGGGGCACTGGTGTGAACAGGGGCGGACTGAGAGCCTTTGGGGCCCCCGGGCAAAATTAGATCCCAGGCCCTTTGAAGGCCAAATATATGTGCATTTTAATAAATGTTAAATATAATTCATAATACGGCATTCCTTTGGATGTGTGTATTGTGAAGACCTGTGTATCAATGCATGTTTGTATTTGAGTCTGTGTGAATGCACTTGTGCATGTCTGGATGACTACATGTGCTCTTTTGTATATAGTGTCTGTGTGAATGCATATGTGACAGGTGACAGAGTGTGTGAGGGAGAAGGTGACAGGTGGAAGAGTGTGGGAGGTTGTGACAGGTGGCAGAGTGAGGGGGTACCTGGTGGCAGAGTGAGGGAGGAGACACAGTGAGTGGGGGTGACTGGTGACAGAGTGAGGGAATGGGTGACTAGTGGCAGAGTGAGGGAGGGAAGGGGTGACTAGTGACAGAGTGAGGGGATGACTGGTGACAGAGTGAGGGGGGGGGGGTGACTGTCACTAGTCACCCCATCCCTCTCTCTGTCACTAGTTACTCCCTCCCTAACTCTGTCACTGCGTCACCCGCTCCCTCACTCTGTCACTAGTCACCTCCTTACTCTGTCACTGTATTACCCCCTCCCTCTGTCACTAGTCACCCCCTCCCTCACTCTGTCACTAATCACCCCCTCTGTCACTAGTCACCCCATCCTTCTCTCTGTCACTAGTCACCCCATCCCTCTCTCTGTCACTAGTCACTCCCTCCCTAACTCTGTCATTGTGAAGGAAGGGATGACTGGTGAGAGAGGGGGTGACTAATGACAGAGTGAGAGAGGGTGTGACTAGTGACAGAGTGAGAGAGGGTGTGACTAGTGACAGAGTGAGATAGGGGGTGACTGTCACTAGTCACCCCATCCCTCTCTCTGTCACTAGTCACCCCCTCCCTCACTCTGTCACTAGTCACCCCCTCCCTCACTCTGTCACTAGTCACCCCCTCTCTCACTCTGTCACTAGTCACCCCCTCTCTCACTAGTCACCCCCTCTCTCACTCTGTCACTAGTCACCCCCTCTCTCACTAGTCACCCCCTCTCTCACTCTGTCACTAGTCACCCCCTCTCTCACTCTGTCACTAAGGCCAGAGGGGGTGATTAGTGACAGAGTGAGGGAGGGGGTGACTAGTGACAGAGTGAGGGAGCAGGTGACACAGTGACAGAGTTAGGAGTGAGTGACTAGTGACAGAGGGATGGGGTGACTAGTGGCAGTCACCCCTTCCCTCACTCTGTCACTAGTCACTCACTCTGTCACCTGTCACTCCCTCACTCTGTCACTAGAGTGAGGGGGTGACTAGTGGCAGAGCGAGGGAAGGAAGGAAGGGGTGACTAGTGACAGAGTGAGGGAGGTGGTGACTGTCACTAGTCACCACCTCCCTCACTCTGTCACTAGTCACCACCTCCCTCTGTCACTACTACCTCCCTCCTTCTGTCACTAGTCACGCCCTCCCTCACTCTGTCACATGTCATCCCCTCCCTCACTCTGTCACCAGTCATCCCCTTCCCTCACTCTGTCACCCCCTCACTCTGTCACCCCCTCACTTTGTCACTAGTCACCCCCTCACTCTAGTGACAGAGTGAGGGAGGGGGTGACTAGTGACAGAGTGAGAGAGAGGGTGACTAGTGACAGAGTGAGGGAGGGAGGGGGTGACTAGTGACAGAGTGAAGGAGGTGGTGACTGTCACTAGTCACCCCCTTCCCTCTCTCTGTCACTCCCTCACTCTGTCACTAGTGTGAGGGGGTTACTAGTGACAGAGTGAGGGAAGGGGTGACTAGTGGCAGAGTGAGGGATGGAAGGGGTGACTAGTGACAGAGTGAGGGAGGTGGTGACTGTTACTAGTCACCACCTCCCTCACTCTGTCACTAGTCACCACCTCCCTCTGTCACTACTCCCTCCCTCCTTCTGTCACTACTCCCTCCCTCCTTCTGTCACTACTCCCTCCCTTCTTCTGTCACTAGTCACCCCCCAACACTCCCCAGTGACAGAGTGAAGGAGGTGGTGACTGCTCAAGTCAATAATTTCTCCTCTCTCTGTCATTGTCACTCCCTTCCTCTGTCACTATCACCTCTCTGTCACTAGTCACCCCCTCCCTCTCTCTGTCACTAGTCACCCCCTCCCTCTCTCTGTCACTAGTCACCCCCTCCCTCTCTCTGTCACTAGAGTCAGGGGGTGACTAGTGACAGAGTGAGGGGGGTGACTGGTGACAGAGTGAGTGAGGGGGGTGACTGGTGACAGAGTGAGTGAGGGGGGTGACTGGTGACAGAGTGAGTGAGGGGGGTGACTGGTGACAGAGTGAGTGAGGGGGGTGACTGGTGACAGAGTGAGGGAAGGGGTGACTGGTGACAGAGTGAGGGAAGGGGTGACTGGTGACAGAGGGAAGGAGTGGGTGACTGGTGACAGAGTGAGGGAGGGAGTGGGTGACTGGTGACAGAGTGAGGGAGGGAGTGGGTGACCAGTGACAGAGTGAGGGAGGGAGTGGGTGACCAGTGACAGAGGGAGGGGGTGACA